GCCAATTATTTGAAAGATAACCACCTGTCAAAACTCACATATGTGAAAAGAGACAATCTGAATAGGCCCATTTCTATTATGGTATTTTCAAACAATGGAATGTTATTTGGCCATGAAAAGGAAGTACTGATACACACTATAACATGTAGAAATTGAATTAAAAATGGATAACCTTCCAAAACAGAATGTACCAGGCTCAGATGGGTTCATTGGTGAATTCTACCAAACATTTCAGCAAGAAATTATACCAATTCTCTTTCAGAAGATAGAAACAGAGGGACTATTTCCTAACTCATTCCAAGAGGCCAGCAATACCCTATTACCAAAGGTAATAAAGAGATTTTAAGGAAACTACAGAGCAGTATCTCTCATGAACATAGGTACAAAAATTCTCAACAAAATATTAGTACATTGAATCCAACAATGTGTAAATAAAGAATTACACCACAATCAAGTGGGATTTATCCTAGGTATACAAAGCTGGTTTGAAGACTAATTAATGTACTCCATATCAAAAAGCTGAAGAAAATCACATGATCTTCCCAATAGATTCAAAAAAAGCATTTTACAAAATCCAATACTCATTCATGATAAAAACTGTCAGTAAACTAGGAATAGAAGGGAACATTTCCTCAACTTAATAAAGAACATCGACAAAAACCCTACAGCTAACATCATTATTTAATGGTGAGAAACTAAAAGCTTTCCCACTAACATTACAAATAAGGCAAGGATGTCCCCTCTTACTACTCCTTTTCAACGTTAGAAGTCCTAGTTAATGCAACAAGACAAGAAAAGGAAATAAAAGTTATACAGATTAGGAATCAAGAAATAAAACCTCTCTGTTCACAGATGACATGATTGTCTATGTAGAAAATTAAACAATTATACAAAGGTTGTAGGATACAAAGTTAATATACAAAAGTCAATTGCTTTCCTATATACCATTAACGAACAAGTGGAATTTCAAATTCAAAACACAATACCATTTACCTTAGCACCAAAAAAAAAAATGAAATACTTAAGTGTAAACCTAACAAAATGTGTACCAGACCTATACTGGAAAAACTACAAAAGTGATGAAAGAAATCAAAGAACTAAATGGAAATATTCCATGTTCCTAGATAATAAGTCTTAATATTACTAAGATGTCAGTTCTTTCAAACTTGATCTATAGATTCAACACAGTCCTAATCAAAATCCCAACAAGTTATTTTGAGGATATTGAGAAACTGAATCTAAACTTAAGATGGAGAGGCAAAAGGCCAAGAGAAGTCAACATAATATTAAAGGAGAATGAAGTTGAAAAACTGACACCACCTGACTTAAGATTTACTATAAAGCTACAGTAATCAAAGGAGTGTGGTATTGTTAAAAAAAAAAAAGATAAATAAATCAGTGGAACAGAATAAAGAACCCAGAAATAGACCCACATAAATACAGTCATCTAATTTTTGACAAAGGAGGAAAAGCAATGCAATGGAGAAAAGATACTCCTTTCAACAAGTGGTGTTGAAACACCTGGACACCCAAGTGCCAAATAATAAATTTAAACACAGACCTCACAAATACAACTCAAAAGGGATCACAGATCTAAGTGTAAAACACAAAACACTAAAACTCATAGAAGATATCACAGGAGACAATCTAGATGACTTTGGGTATGGCAATGAGTTTTTAAATACAATACCAAAGTCATAATGCATGAAAGAAGTAATAAGATGGGCTCCATTAAAATAAAAAATTTCTGCTCTGGGCTAGGAGCAGTGGCTCACACCTGTAATCCTAGCACTTTGGAAGGCCGAGGCAGGAGGATTGCTTGAGGTCAGGAGTTTGAGGCCAGCCTGAGCAAGAGTGAGACCCTGTCTCTACAAAAAAAAAAAAAGAAAAGAAAAATTAGCAGGGCATGGTGGCACATGCCTGTAGTCCCAGCTACTCTGGAGGCTGAGGCAGGAGGATAGCTTGAGCCCAGGAGTTTGAGGTTGCAGTGAGCTATGATGATGCCACTGCATTCCAGCCTGGGTGACAGAGGGAGACTCTGTCTCAAAAAAGAAAACAAAAACAAAAAAACTTCTGCTCTGCAAAAGACATTGTCAAGAGAATGAGAAGACAAGCCACAGACTGGGAGAAAATATTTGCAAAAGACATATCTGATAAACGACTATTACCCAAAATATATAAATAACTCCTAAAGCTCAACAATAGCTGGGTGAAGTGGCATGTTCCTATAGTCCCAGCTACTTGGGAGACTGAGGAGGGAGGATCGTTCGAGGCTAGGAGTTTGAGGCCATAGTATACAATAATCATGCCTGTGAATAGCTGCTGTACTCCAGCCTGGGCAACATTGCAAGATCCTGTCTCAAAAAACAAAACAAAACAACACTAAGAAAACAACCCAATTAAAAAGTGGGCCAAAGATCTGAACAGACACCTCATCAAAGAAGATATACAGGTGGCAAATAAGCATATGAAAAGGTGTTCTACCTCATATGTCATTTGGGAAATGCAAATTAAAACAGCAATGAAATATCATACATACTGACAACACCAAATGCTAGTGAGGATGTGGAGCAACAGTAACTTTCAGACATTGTTGGGGGGGAATGCAAAATGGCACAGCCATTCAGAAGACAGTAATTTCTTATAAAACTGAACATACTCTTATCACACTACCCAGCAATCTCAATCCTTGGTATTTACCCAATGGAGTTGAAAACTTATGCCCACACAAAAACCTGCATATGGATGTTTATACCAGCTTTATTCATAATTGCCCAAACTGGGAAGCAGCCAAGATGTCCTCCAGTAGGTGAGGGGTAAACAAACTGTGGTACATCCAGACAATGGAACAGTATCCAGCACTATCAAGCCATAAAGACACATGGAAGAACCTTAAATACATATTATTAAGTGAAAAAAGCCCATCTGAAAAGGCTACCTACTATATGTTTCCAACTATATGACATTCTGGCAAAAGCAAAACTATGGAGACAGTAAAAAGATCACTGGTTGCCGGGGATTATGGAGAAGAGAAATGAATAAACACAGCACAGAGGATTTACAGGGCAGGGAAAATGGATGATATTACAAAGGTTGATATGTGTCATTATACATTCGTCAAGCCATAGAATGTACAACAAACAGAGCGAAGCCTGATGTAAACCGTGGACTGTGGGTGACTGGGACGTGTCAATGTAGGTTCCCTGACTGTAACAAATAAACCACTGTGGTGTGCATGTGTGGGGGCAGGAGGTAAATGGGAATGTCTGTACCTTCCACTTTGCTGTGAACCTAAAACTTCTCTAAAGAAATAAAGTCTATTAAAAAGAAAACAAACAAAAAAACCCCACCAAAGACACTAAAGCAAATTTTATATTAATTTTTATTTAGGT